TATTGTAAGATTGAGCCTTCATACCTCAAAGACGAAACACTGAATTGCAGGAAAATTTCGCCATTCAATTACTTATTTATAGAATCAGCTCACAAAATCAGAATTTTGTTTTTAGTCAGGCGTCATAGGCACAATGGGAATCAGTTTTTTTGTGATTAGACATTGGTAGATGTTGAGATTTGAAGTTATATCAATATCCCTCTATTTTTTCGGCATTTCGAGACCTTATCGGGGTCGACGATCTGCTGAGAAAATTTAGTCTTTTGTATCTTTTTGTGTATCTTTTCTTTAACTTCAAGTTTTTTGACTGCTTGCTTGACAATTCCCCTTAAATGTTTTGTTGGGAAAATTAGCCTTTTTGTTGTTGTGATTATCATTATTTCTTGCGATTAACTTAAGATAATATCGAATAAATCCGTATCGTAGCTGTACCGCGTCAGCATCGGTTTCCCAGTCATACGAAATCGCCTCTATTTGCTGTATTGCATAGATGGCATCCGCTTTAGTTCTTCTTGTTTTCAAATATTGAAGTGGAAAGAAGTAATACTTTTCAGTTCATTTTTCGAGCTTAACAAAAATTGGCGAAATGTAATAGAGTACAAACACTAAAACTGTGCAACATAAATACCACGAAATACTGCTAAATTATGCTAATTATATTGTTTTCTATTGTTTAATTAACACTGTTTTGTAGTAAATAGTGGGAAGTGCTGCACACATTTAATGTTTGTACTCTACCTTATTACTACTATATAATGTTTATTAAACAATAAAAAAAACAAAGGATCGAGTTAGCGCAATTTAGTGCTACTTTTCAATGTTTAAGTTTCGGCATGGATTGAGTACGTCGACTCGAATGGTCGCATACTAGGAATCATGCTATACAGTAAAATTATTTGCGCACCTTTAACTTCGTTTCAAACGACCTCTTCCTCCTCATTCCTCAGTGTTCTTTTTGTCTTTGCAACCTTTTTTTGTGCCTACATCTTTACTCAATCATCTAGTTTTATTTTACCTTTTAATGAATGTCATTTCAAAAGCGTTTGAGGACTATTCCCTCATAGCTATTAACTCTCCATAGTACTCTGTGTGATTGAGTTTTTGAGTGTTTTTTAGACCAAAATTATCGCAATGGTCAAGAGGAAATTAGGCTGTCATAATGTGTTCGAAGCATGCGCAGTGAAAATACTAAATGCACCAAAATGAAGAACATTACTCAAATAYTTACATAAGAGATGATCAACCTTCAATGTGGAAAATTGAGCGATATCATTGCAGCAGTTTTGTTGGCCTAGCGAGCGTATTAAAGTATTATAACATTTTCATTAGTTTGGTTCTCCTTTAAACGAAACAGTGTTCAACACATGTTGATCGACTTCTGAACCTTTTACGTCACTACTTGATTTTCAATTCATTGTGGGAACAGTTTATAGAGAAAACAAAAGGAATCAGCAATGTACTATTGATGCATTGCGTATACGATGCATGACGTAAAAGCTTCAGAGGTCTATTGGTTCCGGTCAATGGTCTGCATAGAATAGTTTTTTGCTTCTATACCAGGCATTTATCAACAGCGAGCAGGATGAATACCCAAGAAATCATAGGTAAAGCTTTTATGAAACTAGCGCAAACTTAGTCAAACTAAAATTGTATGCTAGTAGTTCAAATATTTCTTACCTTTGTACTGTACTGTCCTCCCAGTCCGCTGAACAAAACGAAGATTTGTAAATTCTTTACAAAATAGCCGCCATCATATCTCTCATAGCGTATAAATTAAGTTTTCGTCTGCGTTATGATGCAGAAAAGCTCCATTAATGATAGCTTTAAATGATTCAAATCCCTTCTTGTTGGCTATAAACTTGCACAAGCATTCAGAGATGTAAGTCCATCTTGGGAATAATGAAAACTAATTAGTGTTTGTCTTGAACAAAAGATCCAAAACTGTTTTTGTTCTACTCGCTCTGACAGACCCTTTCACAAAACACTATGCAGAATTGACCAGGATGACCTGGAAAAAAATCTTAAAGATAAGGTAAGAGCAAAAGTATCTATTCACTCAACACATCTAGAAACAAATTCAAGTCAAAGACTCTTCTCAACTTGTTTCTGATTACATATTTTTAAAAAGCCATAAGTAAGACCTTTTTAAAACGTTTTAGCAGCTGAAATAATTACTCGAGTAAACTAATAAGTTAGGCTCTAAATCGGGTTGTTGCCATTACGGCATATGGTTGTCAAATGGTTGAATAGGTATTTTTAGGGCTAAAAACATTTTTAGCATAGTATAATATCTATTTGATACTTGAATAGATTTGTTTAAGGTCACATAACTAATTATCAATAATTGCAATGGAAGGTAGTTTATATACCCAAACGCACAATACTCCAGTTTCGCATTCTCTTTTTTGTAAGCTTAGATTCAATCACGCATAAATTTGTATTGTCTTCTTTGTACACGGAGTTTTTGCAGTTAGTTAGTTAGTTAGGCGGATGACTCCGAGATTTGACAATGGCACTCCAGTACTGCAGTACAAAAGGATATCTTCTGAATAAAAGAATATATTGCATGATTTCGAGGCTAAGGCTGCACAAATAAGATATCGAAACTGGAGGAAACACATATCATGACATATGCACTAGAATCTCTTGAAAACTTTAGAAAATTTGATGGCTTTTTATCACATTAAATGCAAATTCCTGCACGTCTAAAATACATAAAACTTGACTCTCTGAATTGTACAAGAGACTGCATAATAAAAAACGCTTTGCTTACTTCAAAGCAAAGTTGCAAGCAATAATAACTAGCAATTTCTAATTCTATTTCAGATGATTCGCAAATCCTTGAATGACATCACTGTTGTCTGCAGCATTGGGTAATGTGATCACGGGTATTTTTTAGGTTAATCCAACCAACGCTTAAAACATACTGGATACATAAAAAGTTAAAGGACTTAACGGAGCTTAAAGTGGAAAATAGAATGTTAGTTCTCTGCTTGGATTGTAATTAAAGCACTCGAGCAGTTAAAGCTGTCCCACTCACCGTTTAGCAATCTTTATCCGTCAAGAATAAGAAGGATACTTCCAGAAAAAAAATGTTGCTGTGTCAAAATAGTGAAATCTTCGACTTTACCGTGTCACCTTAGGCCACGGATCTGTATGGCTTAAGCCATTGTTCAAATTGATCAAAGCCAAACTTTCTTGTCTGGTCTTAAAGGTCCAATAAATTGGTAATGTGGAATGCTGTTAGAACATCATTGTTGTTCACTGCTTTTCGCCTGTTCGGTTAAAAAACTCGCAAGAGGTTTACATGAGTTTACAATCGATGATTAACAATTACTCGAAACACTTTTAAGGACAAATTCGCGGCGGGCTGTATTGTGGGCTATTAAGCTACGACTCGTGTAGGAGCGATAGTGCGCACGACAATGGAATGCGAGGCTCGTCTTGAGTAAATAATCATAATTGACAAAACTTAATAAATTCCATGCTTCTGATTGGCCAAAATCGCCAAAAAACTGCGATTTCCCGATTTCCGGTCGAAAGAAAATCGATTGCATCCAAATTCAATACGGGTGTGGCAAAACCAGTCGGTATTCTTTTGTTTGCCATCCTCGGAAAGTCTTCGTGTGTAAGCATTTCAAACGCGAAGTTCAGAACGGTCCAGGCATCAAATTACACTGAACCAAATGTTTCRATAGAAATTTAGAGAGAATAGTGTTATCTACCTGTTTTTACTGCTTTTTCTTGTCATTTTTTCAAATAGCTTTCCTTTATATGAGAGATTATTAATGGGTTATTATTCTTGGTCGTATTGAGATGCCATTCCTAGCCAAATACGGCTCCTTTTGTCACTGTCAAGAGGTACGGCGAGTGTATATGCGGACAAGCTACGACTGTTCAAGAGAGAACCCAAAGATTCTGGATTTTCAAGATATCAAACAAGAGTCTAGTAAAAGTTTTATACTTTTGCCCTTCAAATCTATTGCTAGTTASTTAGTTGARYACGATAATTGCKGGAAAATCTGCTTAATGTTTCCTTTTTGACGCACTTTAAACAAAGGGATATTGTTCAATTTGCTGGGTGTTCCATATACGTCAACGCGATGTTTGCTGGACATGGGGTCAAACGTGCTTAAGACCAAACATACGTCACGAAGTAAAGAGACAAGCGAAGGTTTTTCATCGTTCATTAACAACTAGTAGCCTTCATGCCTCTCTCGTCACCTGCTTTGGCAACTATTTGTAACGGAGCATTTTGGTGTAAATGGAATAAATAGTAGGAAAGACTAGTCAGACTAGGATCAAGTCTAATTTTGAGTTAGCTATCAGTAACGATGGCCAAGTTTTAAGCTTTATTATTGCTTTTCCAATACAAAAATACTTCGTTTAATTGAAGTCCCATATTTATTGGCTTGCTGTTTATGTACGTGAAGTGGGCCTTCCCGCTTTGCGTACTTGCATCAAGAGATTTCTAAAAGACTTCTCAAATTAACACCATCTATACTACTCCATGTGCATATCGACGCTATATATTTTGTGCAGCATATCATGATGGTAGTTCAGGGTAGATTGTAGTCTCTATTGCATTTAGCATTGATCCTTAGGTATCAGTAGTTTTCTCTTTTATTTATTTATTTGTTTATTTTTATTTTTATTTATTATTATTTTTTTTTTGTAGAAACGGCAAAATATCATCTATTTTGACTAAGAAGGAAAAAAAAATCAAAGGATTGTTTTAGCGGACATGAAAAAGTACGAGGACTAAAAGTACCACCGTCTTTTGCTGACCAAAATGACGTCCCAGTACATTGACACCTATTGCTATCGTATGCGTGGGATCCCTGAACTTTATGGCATCTTGTCCATTTTCCCTCAAAACCCAGGCCGCAAAGGAATGGAAACATTGCCGACACTTTGATTTCTTCGCTCTGTGCAAGTTATAGAAGTTTTCATGTGGTGAGACTAAATGTTTTTGATTAGAGGACTATTTTCAGACTCGTTCCCAGTTTCCTTTTGGATTTCGGAACGGCTAATAGCTAGCCTTCAGAACGGATAACAATTGACCTGACATTTTTTACAATGCAAAATACTTGTAGGGTAAAGTCGGTTATGTTGCTGTAAGACTTGTAGTCAAGTCGAAGGGTTATGTTTAGGGAAAAGGACTGGTCAGACTATAAAAAGATATTGAATTCACAATTCTAATTAAACCATAAGATATTTAATAAGCTAAAATAGTGCCTAAAGGTCAGTCTATAAAATATTGAATTTACAATATTCTAAGTTTAAATTTTCTTTAACAAATGTTTATTAAGCACCAAAAACGTGAATATATATTTGTAGATAGCTAATACCTTTCCGTTACAATATCTCGTAAGTAAACTACTCTGTTCTTTTTGACAAATTTCAGTTAAATGCCAACCCCATTCAGCTTGATATAAAAAGACAGTATCTATTATATTAATCGTTGTTGCTGTGAGCAACTTTTAAAATGTTTTCAGTGTCCATAACTTCATATGCATGTACATGAGTCAATGATATGGACTGCCTCGTTCGTCACCGTTGTGTTGAGTACAAGGGGTTTTTTTTTGTCGGCATAGCAGCCTTTATATCTGTCAGAGGAGTGGAGAACACACACTTTTTTTTTGGATACGGTCAACCTATAATGTAAAATGGTATATAGTTATTTATTTTAGAAAAGAATAATTTAATTTTTTTATCAAATTTCAAGACAAGTAAAATGGAAACTATACATGTCAAAAGTAAATATATATATACACGAAATAAGATGAAAAATAGATAAATAAGTGGTATTTTGATGGTGTTTTTGTCTTTTTCTTACGATAAACCAACATAAAAGACTTTAAAAACTTTAATATTTTAATTTTATTATTTACTATGTTATTACAGCTTTTTTATCAAAGACCTTGTCGCATCTAAGGCAAAAGAATGCAAATTTTGAAAAAAAGCATTGAATAATACTACAAACATGGTATAGATGAATTGACTTCTCTATTCCGTATACASAATGCATTGCAGTATAGTTCGAGATAAAACATGKCAGATTTCTTTTGTTTTCTACAGAAACCAAACCCACAATGCAATGCAAATTAAAAAGTTTAGGTGAAAGCTTCTGAGTGAAGTTTATCAAAAGAAATGTGGACAATAAAGAAATAGATATAAAAAATTCCTAATTTCACCTACCATTGAATGCACTTTCCTCGTACTTTTCCAGGACAGGAGGCACTTCCAGAGCACATACCAATATCAATGATCTTCATAAAACAGTAAAAATTAATCACAATAGTCTCCTTCACGGTTAACTGCGCCATCTTGAAAGGTAGCCTTGCCTTTGCATCGAAGCGAGACAACCGTTGAGCGTGCATTGATAGATACCTGTGAATAATTGTCAGTAGGTGTGAAAGAAGGTTTCTATCATTGYACGCTCAACGGTYGTCTCGCTTCVATGCAAAGGCACGGCTACCTTTCAAGATGGCGCAGTTAACCGTGAAGGAGACTATTATATGTAATCCTTTTTGAGTCTGAGAAAATTCAGTCACACATGCAGTGGCGGCTCCACATATATTATTTTACCTTGCGCCCTTGTTGGGGAAATTGTTATGTCATAATCAATAGCTAATAAAATAATAAAACAGTAGCATRTTATACAGCCAATCGTAAGGTTGTCCAACTAAAAGACATTTCCAATGTTGACTCATCTAATCATTCATTTGTCGCACGTGTAGGAGAAAGTACCCGACATTTTGAAAATACTTATGCTCGCGATAGGAGACTTAAAATATGTATATATTAAGACCCGTGACAAATCTAACATCGGAAATTTCTTTTAGGTGGACAACACTTTCATGTTCGGATGTGCATTTTTGTCTATTCTCGACTTTCACGTGACGTCATCAGTCGAAACAAAATTCTAAAATCACAGACACACAACATTGTGGCAATGAAATATCTTGAAGAGCATGATAGAAGTTCGCTCTGAATGTTTAAATTTTTTTGCTGTTTATTCGTCGAGTTATTAGCGTTCAAAGATATGTTACGTAATACTGCCACGCGACTTGATACACGCCAAAAATACTCGAAAAGTCTATGAATCTTAAAACAATTATAGTCTCAGCATCAATTTAAATGTTTACAATGATATAGTTTGTAAAGTTAAAGCAAAATCATTAGTTTTGAGCTCAATTCGATGCTCGGAGTTACGGTCCGCCATCTTTATGCTCCTGACGGGGGCACAATCATGGCGGTCCCATACATTTCTTTGTAAAGTAAGACCGTATTAAAACGCTTATATTTTCGCTAGGAAATCACAGTTTTGATTCAAACTTTGCATAACTGTTGGGAGTTATATACTTGTTTGATCCTTGGACTTAAAAAATTAATTTGAATCTTAAAACAAAGCTTTTTGTAGGTATTTCTTGACTAGTCCAAAACGCATTGAGCCGTGCTAATCCCATACATTCTTACCAATTTTCGATCGCTTGTATTTCTGTTAAAAATCATTATTTTGGCTCTAAATTTCGTCATGATCCTTTAATTAAGATGTTCTCTCGAGAACAATAATAAAAGTTGGCTAATTTTGCCTCTAAATAGCTTTTTTAGACTATCACGTGATCAGTGAAAGTCAAGAATTCTAGCTTGAGAATTTGAAGAAAAAATTGCGAAAATGAAAAATGACGGTTGAGAGCAGAAATCAAAGGATATATGTCAGAGAGTTGAYGATCAGTSAGRGACTCAGTTCAAATGTCTGTCATACCTTGGTGACAGTTTTGTTGTTATCACCAGAGTCACTGCTGATTACGGAGTAGGCTTTCTTGTACGACATCCTGTAACAAGGAGATTCACATCCACACTTTTCGATCACTTTCACTTCTTTTCTTCCTGGAAAAAAGTACGGAAATACAGAACGTAAGAGCCCAGGAACTTTTGGTTAGGTGTAGAAGAAATTAAAGAAAAGAACAATTTTAATTTTAATTTAAAAATTAGAACAGCAAGAACAATTTGAAGAAAGAAATAGAAGCATAGAATAGAGGATTAAATGAAGCGGTTGGTATTAAAAAGAAGTGAAGAATTAAAAAAATAAAACCATTTGTTTACCATTTGGAGTTTTGATAGCTAACGTATTTATGGACAGTGGCCGACACGTTTTGCTTTTGCAACTTCCTGAACATGTTCCAACATCTATGGTACGTTCGTATTTTGTTCCTCGATAGAATAAACGTAATGAAGTACGGCGTTTACAATTTTGCAAAGCTGTGCATKTGCAGTCCAGAGCATTTGCAACTTCTTTGATCCCATTTTCTGTTCTTATGTTTATAAGCTCAGTCATATTAGGATTGCAAGTTTGTATACCAGGGCAAACCTAATAGAAACACGAAAAGAGCAAAGAGTTTGAAGGTGTTTGTGAAAATAGACGTGCGTGGGTAAAAGTTTTAAAGGGCTACTTGGATGGAAAATTGCGAAACACTGGAAAAGGCACAAAATTCTTGTAGACGTATCAATCATGGTCCTATAAGGAACTGCGCAATATTTATCATAGGAGATGGAGGTTGAGAATCCAGAGGGGGAGGGTGGGGGAATCTAATTTTACGTGCTTAAAGAGAGGGCAACGTCTAAAATTAACTAGACCTTTCGGGAACTGAAAAAACAACGGTGTCAGATTCGAAAACTTGTCCTTACCTGTTGCTTTGCCGTGACATTTTGAGTGGAACTGATTAGTTTAGCGTTGCATCGTCCGATGTTGATTTGAGCTGTTATCATAGGTGACAGAGCTGGTATGGAAAATAAGTTGAAATTCAAACAGTTCTATAAGACTACTTTTGTATCAAATGTACGTTTTTAACAATAACGGGCATCATATGCAATTTACACCGCATCTAAAGCAAGGTACACAAGTAATATAAGTGCAACTATTAAAGCCGCGAAAGTTAACACTACTCAATTAACAATATTCAAAAATYGGATGCAGCTAGATGTCACAGGTCACTGGAAAAATCGCGCGCTTCAAAGTTTGTAATTTTGATGTAAACGTGATGTAAGTGTCCAAAATTCTGTAAATTTGATGTAAGTGATTTACAACAAATTTACAGAATTTTGGACACTTACATCATATTTACATCAAATGTACAACCTTTAAAGCGCGCGATTTTTTCCAGTGAATGTATAACTGCACACGATCGTTATAGTACAGTACGGATTGCGCTCTGTGTAGCGCTAACGCTTGCGTTTGTCTACAATTCCAACAAGTCAGCTGTCCTTAAAGCTTTCGTCAAAACAGACTCTATGCATCTAGACTTCTGACTGCCGCGCATACTRCATTAAAGTTTAACCATGTATGACATCATACTTCAGTATACGAAAAGTAGTGACCGCATTAGAAAATTATAAGTCTACCTTACCACTGTTATAATAATGAGCTTTSTCTTCTCTTTGGCATATGCGAACGGCAAGTCCGCTCTTTTGGAACCACAATGCAATGGGACTGTTACCATCATTAAAATTTGTAGATGGTATACCTGCAAGTAAAAAGAACAAGTCATGTATATTTTTAGTTTTATCTCATCTTATCTTCAGTTTTAGGCAGCTTAAATCAAATAACTATGTACCCCAAGTTACTGAGGCCTTGCTAAATATGAARACGATTAGAAATTGTCGACTCTATATCTGAATTAAACAAAAAATCATTTATTGTGAGTTCCATCTAAAGTTGTTTCGTCTAAATCTATAGAAGCCAGGCGMCTTCCCTCAATCACGGTCCAGAGAAACGTTCAGCCCAAAGCGTGCAATTCATGATCAGAGAGCTAAAACTTTGATTTTGAATATGTACATACGGTCTGTTATTTCTATTATATGATTTATATTATAATATCCAAAAAAATCTCAACGCATCCGAGGAAATGTTTCTTTCTAGGCACCTTGACAAATGCTAATGCTAGCCTGCGTACATTCTCGAAAATAACCGTCGATTTTTGCATGGCGGTAAAACGCTGGATGAAACTCAGTCTATATACTTTTTCGATTTAAAAAATAGCACACCGCGACGATAAATATACTATATGCATTAAATACTTTTAACATGTAATCTGAAACTATTAAAAGGAAAGTTATTTTAAAKGCCTTACCTGCAAGTTGCTTCGCAGTGAATTTGCCAGAAACAYTTTGTTCAGTTAAAATGAGCGCGATAAGTATCAGGGAAAACATTTCTGCAGAMTTGAACTTTCACAGTTGAGATTCTATAGTGAATAAAATTTGAGTTGTAGCCAGCATTATAAATACTGATTAAGTATATTAACATAATAATGGTGTCTGGCATAAACAACAGATTCATTCTGCAAGTGTGAAAGGCTGCAAACACAATAAACAAACAAATGTCTGGAAATAATTGGGCTTGTAAAAAGGCGCGATGCTTGCAGCGCAGACTTGCAGAAATTGTGTCCTAAATCTGCTCTTCTTCTCCCCTAAGATCATAAGAATTTTCTTCTTCGGCGCATTATCACTGTTTTACGTATAACTTATAAGAAAGTATTGGAAAAAATATAGGAATTAATGCTGCAAATTAGGTAACTTGCGCGCGAGAGACGTGACGCCGTTGACGCGACGACGAAGCCCCGCAAAATGACAGAAAAGACGGCTTGTCTGGAAGAAAACTACGGTATTATTTACACGTGGTACCGACTCTGTATTTCAAGAATAGAATGAAGAATCCTTTTGAAATCATGATATAGTAGAATATCAGAAAGATGATAAGATTTCTAGGTAAAATCTCTTCACAAAAATGGGACGTTCTCATCATTTGGTTTGGGTGTTTTTCGCTTTGTTTTTGTCTCTTATTTTGTTTTTGTTATTGTTGTTTTTATTGTTGTTGTCTTTCTGTGTCTAAAATGAACTGTTTTCTTTTAGTTTTCTGTCTTCAGATTCTATAAACCATATGATTATTCAGTAATCCTAATTTAAGGCATGGCTATCACAAAGTCTTTATTGCTCAGCCTACGAATAAATAAATGTATATTCATGAATGAAAAGTTCCAGTTTTATTAATGAATTCGATGTTATTTTATATCAGAAAACATACAAAAGCTGAAATCCAAAATCATCATTCAATTCAAATGTATCATAGTATATTCACTGTAACGGTGAGGTACGCCTCGCACGTGCTCTACACGTGTCAACAAACTGGACACTTACTTGGGCTCTTCGGTTCAGACAATGAGACAAACAAAGAAMGCTATTAATGCTATTAATACAATTAGTGTAATAACAAAAAGATCAAACGAATCTTTGTTTAGATCTAGCAGACTTGAACTTAGCATTGTCTTTAGCTCACTCTAAAGTATTTTGACTAACAAGAGTAACAAGGTGAACAAGATCATGTTACTAGAGAAGAACTCGCAATCTCAAGTGAACCGTATTGAAATTGTCGTCGCTTGTTGGAGTGGTTACTCTTAATTCGTGAAATACTTCATGAAAAGATAGTAAAAATTGTGAGAAGTGCTGCACAGTTTTAGGAATAAACCTATCTCAGTGCTTTTTAATCGTTTCGTTGGAGATAGGGTATTTCAGTGTCGCAGCGACTTTAATTGCCCCCTGGTTCATTTTGCTTTCACAACTGCACAATATGCAATAAGAATATTTTATCTAGACTCCAGTTAGAAATCTTTCACTCATTGTGGATAAAAAAGCAGCCGTTTTTACAAACGCTGTCGGAAAAGCTCTTCTATACCGACTATCATATACCGATATGTCTGTAAGTAAAGCAMAAAGCAAAACCTTTTAAAAGATAGTTTGTCTTGCAGTTGAACGAAGAATGCAAGGTCGTCACTCATTTGTTAGCTCAATGGATGGACGAGGAGCTCTCCCGGGTGAGGAGAATCGTCGGGGAAGCCTTCGTCTGCTAGCAGCTTTCTCTCAACGGAAACGCCGACAAGGACAATTGTCCTTTCTCGCCAATAGGGTACTTCAGACACAAACACAATGAATTCAAACAAAACCAGTCGTCATAAGAAGCGTGAAATTAATCCCACGTATTCAATACGTCCTTGTTTACCCTGCCCTTAAAAAAAAACAGGAAATCCATTTCAACACCGACAATGATAAAGACCGAAGGGCGTGTTTTACCTCCTGGAGGAGGGTATGTTGCTTATCTGGCACTTGCCCTCCAGCATGGTGCAGTTTATTCCTCTTAGGACATTCCTCCTAGGGARTTCCAGCTATTTTTAAAGCTCACTCGGACAATATTGGGACAACGAACTTGATGTCGCATGCCATTCCAAAAAACAGGAAGGAAGTGATGAAAGCTGTCACTGACAGATTTTATGTTTAAATTAAAAAAAATAGGCCACGAACTAGTTCCTGTTTGCATATTGCCTCGCCCCTACAAGAGCTAGCAATTGRCGACTCGTTGTATTAGGTAAAGATGGTCGAGGACGCCATGGGGGTCCTATTCACTGCTATGTCAGAGACTTCCGTAAAAAGCCTAGTGCTGCCTAACAGCTATCTGGGCATCCCTTAGTGGACAATTAAAAGTGCCGAAGCTTGGGTGAGCCCTTCAAATGTCTGGCGTTTCTGCAGACCAAACAGACTAAACATCATTTCCCAAGTAGTTAATAGTCCATAAAACTTTGTCTTAAAAGTCTCTCATGAAATGTTTAGCTTTTCACAACGTCTCCGCAAACAAAAAACATTTGAAAAGTAAATAAATATTTAAAAAAATCGTGTAGTCGCTTGGCGTAAAGACCAAAAGCTAAAAGCATTATACGTAAACTATATTGATGATAACCATCAGAAACAACAAACAATAATACTCGAAAAATATGTGTGTGATTTCATCATGGTATTACTCCGAAGAGCCAAAACAGCATACAAACTCACCAGTAAGATACTATCACCACATTACACTGTAATTACAATATCGGCCTCTAATCAATGCTTTCAGCCAGACAACGCTAAAACAAAAAAACTATTACTTGTAAGAACCAAAACCAAAATCTGAAATGGACTACCATCATCACTAAAAACTTTAAACAAACTTAAATCGAAAATAAAATGTCTATTTGTTAGTATTTAGTTTGTTTTTATTTCCTGCGTTCGCTCTATTCATTTACTAGTAACTTAACATTTATGAATGCCAACGTAAAGTACGGTTGTTTCTGTTGTGTGCATTGAAAACTATAAGTACTTCGGAACATATAGCTTTGCTGAGTCACTATATTCGGGTCGAGAAAATGGGACATTTGTTTGTTGAAAAACGAAACAAATAAGTCTGTAAAAGTCCRAAAGATAAGTCTTTTGTCTTGGAGACCATGGACTTCGCCGAAAAAAAAAACGACAAAAGTCGGCAAAAACTGCGACGACAAAACTTCAAATTTAACTTTGAATACTTTGCAATTCTCTTATAGCTGATWGTCTTATGTTTTTCTTGTTTTTAACTAAATAAGTATGCTCATTAATTAGAACGATAAAACAGGAGGAGACAACGGAGTCAGTTCGCAAAATAACTGTTCTTGAACGAAATTTTTTTCCTTGGAAAGTGATTTTGAGMTACATTGTTGAAAATCTCACGAGCAAATGTGGCGCCCTTCCTTCTTTAAAATAATTTTGCCCCTGGAAAATGTTTTTAGGATCAAAAAAGGCAGTTTATATACAACGTTATTTATGGTCAAAATGGTTTTATTTTTTAGATAGGAAATGTTTATTTTCCTGGCAAAAATTCTTAGATAGTATTCCTTGCCTGGAGATTTCTTTTTTTCTTGAATTTCTCGCTGGCAACCAGTTGTGGCTTACAGCTGGCAGGGACATAAGAACAGATATATTTCTCCCAGGAACCCGTCGGCTCCTCCTAATACTAAAACCTAAGGTGCAAAAGCTAAATTTGTACGTGATCCAGCTGAATGTCGGATTAATTTGATTTTGATTTGATTTGTTCTCCCTATCCGTTCAGACGCAATCTAACGAAAATTTATGTCTAGTACTATTTCTAAGAGTTTTAAGGTACTACTTGCCTTTTCAGTCCTCTTTGTAAGCACCACGAAACTAAAAATTGACGATTGGGGTTTACTTTATATAATATCATCGCGTATTAAATTGCATTTGCCCTAGGTCAAGTTTCGATTGACTTATTTGTGAAAAAAGATATTTTAGAAGAAGCCGACGNATAAGTTATACGCGAGGCCCAGTTTTTTGGAGCGAACTGTGGTGAAAACATGGATCGCCATACTATTTTAATGCTCAACTTCAACTCTTCAAGGGCAAAAATACGTGATTGGATTTTCGAATTTTCTCATGAAAAATACCCAGAAAGGTCGCATATAGATTTTATTTCTTAAATCCGGTGCTAGGTTTTTACGATTGTTTTTAATGTCGCCGCATTTCTTCAAAAAGCCTTGAAATCTGGCCATTTTTCGTCAAATTTGGCACTTCATACGGACTGTCAGGTCAAGCTTGAGTGATCACGGACTATTTGTCCCCCATAAGTTCCATATGCTAGTGAAGAACTCGCAATCTCAAGTGAATCAAATTGAATGTGGTCGTCGCTTTCACTCTGTTGGAGTGGTTACTCTTAATTCGTGAAATACTTCATGAAAAGATAGTAAAAATTGTGAGAAGTGCTGCACAGTTTCAAGAATAAATCTATTTCAGTGCTTTTTAATCGTTTCGTTGGAGATAGGATATTTCAGTGTCGCAACGACTTTAATTGCCCCCGGGTTCATTTTGCTTTCACAACTACATGATATGCAATAAGAATATTTTATCTAGACTCCAGTTAGAAATCTTTTACTCATTAGTCGGGCTAGCCTATGGCTAGGCCGACTTTAGTTCTACCGTTTAGTCAATGTATCTATCTATCTATCTATCGTGTCGCGTTTGGCAACCGGAAGTTCAAATAATTACACGACTTYGGGGTTCCTGTGTAATTACGTCACCATGACGTCATGTATTGTGTTATGTCACAATCTCTTTTCCATAACGTCATCTCCTATGGGCCTACACTGCTTCATAGCAAGTAACTATATTTTGCTTGAATTATATACTAATATTTTGGCTTACTGAGAACCATGTGGGAAGTACTGTTCTTCATGAAACAGATTGAAAATATTACGAGCATGCTCAGAGTAGTAAAACTTCCATCCAATGATACACATTGGATTAGTAGGGCACAGGTAGCCCAGAGTTAAATAAACCATAATAATCAGGCAATCACGTGCACACCTACTAAGTAACAAAATTTCCCATAATTTCTTGGTTTGATAGCACAGGAATACCAAAGTCACATGGTGCTCTGCTGGTGTTACGTTCCATCGACGTTTGATCCTTTGGATACTTTTGCAATCAAAAAACAACAAATGGACATGCCGTTCGCGATAGACTAAACTAAAAGTTGTTCCAATCCTAGAAAATACTTATACTCCTTCGCCAACAGTAATAATCCTAACAAGACCAAACATTGAAGTACTATAACAGCACATGTAAGGACGCCACATTTGAATTCTTCGAGAAGACGAACGATTAGATGTCTAGTTCTATAAGACT